CCAAACAAATATGCCCAATCATGCATCGCTCAGGTATTTCCCTTCCTTGACCGCTGAAGATTTGTGAAGCCAGGGTTCGTTCCTTCGGGGAGCTGCGGGTTGGTCCGGGTTGCCGCAACCAAGCCTGGTGGCCATGTGCCCGACAGCTCAGTTACACATTGGGTCTTGAACAAGGGATCGCCCAAAAATGTTTGGTTTCCTTCGTGGTTTCCCTTCAAAAACCACTCCAAAAAGGGTATCCCCGAAAAAAGAAAAAAGACACCCCCTCCATTTCTGCCACCATCTGGGTGAAGGATCCAACCAAACCAAGCACGAAAGGCAATACGGGCGCCAGGAATCAACGGGTTGCTCCCCAGTTCAATTTCACGCCTTATGATGCTTCTGATGGTCCATCCGCTTCTTCCGCGGAGTGGAAGCCTCCTGAGAGCGGGCAAGTGATGCCTCAAGGACCTGAACATACAAAGGCGACCAACTTTTGGAACATTCAGTGGCCATGGCAAACAAAGGGCACCCTGTTCTCGGTTGGTTGAGTTTCACAGGGAACGAACGCTTCCCAAGAAGGAAACACGGGCGCCACTGGGCAGCTGGGACCATTCTGGATAAACAGCTGTTCGATTCGAAATTGCACAGAGCCCTGAATACATCTGGGCCGCTCGCCATACAAGTAGGCAGATTAATCCTGCGCTCCAGACTCTCAGACTGCCAGCGGCCATGGGGAACAAAGGCGCCCTTTCTCGTTTTTGGGCGGGGGATCCCTTCCCCCAAACAAAAAAGAAGAAGGTACGGGAGAACCCCCGATAACCCCAAACAAAAAGCAAAAAGGGGCATCTCGGAAATCCAAAACATGTTCCCAAAGTGGGGCCCACTCAGCCAAGAGCATTGGCGTTTTGTAGGGAACAGGGAGGGAATCTCTGGGCCAAACTATCACCAAACAGGTTTCCCTAAAAGGTGGGATCAAAGGCTTTTTGGGAGCAAGTTTCCTTTTGCCGGGCCGGGATCTTGAAAAGAAGATATAGGGAACCCGCAAGGCAAGCTAGGTGACAAGCCGAAAGGTGGGGAACCCCAACTCACAGATGCACAAAAGGGTGTGCCTTTGTTGTTAGGGTACTTTGTTCCGGGTTGTTTAGAGGGAAAACCAAGGGGACAATCACCGATTTGTGGGACGGTATCCCCATTTTGGGATCCCAAATCAGTTCGATGCCAGAATAAGTTCTGCCAAAGGCGCCGCATCCTTCTTCGTCCGGGGCATCCATGCACACAGCCCGTGGGGCGCCCAAGCCCCAGACGCCCCCCAGACGTGGGCGGCGTCCCCTTTGAGCCGAAAGTGGGACGCCAAGGCGGCCACTCCCTGGGTTCATGTTGTTTTTGTTGGGTTCCATGTTTTTATCTGTAGGGGGGTAAAGAAGAGGCCTATGGGAAAACGTGTCATGTTTTTTGGCCACACAAAAACCCCTGCCGGGGGGTAAACAAGAAGTCTATGGGAACACATGTGCGTTTTTTGGACGCAAAAACCCTGCACCCAGCCGTTTTCATTACAAGTCCCTCACTTGTGCAATTTCGCCTTGCGGATTGCCACTAAAACTTGGGGGGCTTGTCCACGTGGGGGTCCCCTAAAATGCTTGTGCTTCATTGTCCCTTTATGCCAAGCCAAAGGGGCCCGACTTTGAGAAACTTTCAAACATCACTCAGGGAACCGGAGCATTACGCCAATCCGACATGACAGCTCCGGGAGCTGATCACCCCAATTCACAGCGTCACTCACACTTCGGGTGAGCATTTTCTAACCTGCTCCCCAGGAAAAACCAAAAAAGTCAAAGAGCCGCAGCCATCGAGCCTTGTGGTGGAAAAGCCACTCTTGCTGCCCCTTCCCCGCATCTTGAGGACCCCTGGGGTCAAAGGCCTCCATGATTTTGAAGTTCATGCGGGTGCCCTCCACCCGCATTGCAAGCATATTCCAACTAAACCAGTAAGCCATCCAGGTTTCCCTAGCTGTCTGCTGGACACACTTCGAGGACCAACTGCAGGCTTCTTTCTGTTCGCCTCCCATCCTATGCCTGCGTGGGGGAGGGGGGCAAGGAGGGGGCGGCTGTGCCGAAAACACAAAACGCATCGACTCTCAGCAAATGACGAGAGTGCCCTTGGCAAAAAGCTGCCCTTCACCCATGTTCACATGATAATTGGACCATGGTTCAAAGGATAGCACTCAAGGGCAGCTTTCAAAACCAATGGTATCATTTTGGGGGTAGGTGCACCACCCATTTTGGAACCTATTTTACTGGTTGGATTGAATCGGATGTTCACTGGGGCTGCGATTTGGATTTTGACTCTTTGAAAAGCCCATGGCCATATCCCTGACCATGTCGGATGCGGCAACCCCTGTCGGCCAAGTTGGGAGATCCCTCGTCCGTCCCCACGGAACGCTCACCGCCGCCCGGCCCGGGCCGAAGCGCCACGCCTTGCTTGCCACCTCGGCGATCTCCTGGATCCAGCAAGGAGCCATGATAGGAGTACCTTCCAATTCCGTTCTTTCCAGGAATCCGAGTCTTTCTAGAAAACCTTGAGAAACCCAGGCAAACGGCTGGTGATTGAAAAGAACGATGGTTGAAAAGAATGGGGACACAATCCCTGGAATGATTTAAACATCCAGGATCAAGCAAGCCCTTGGTGATAATAAACAAAAAGTGATAAGTGATAAGTGATAAAGGGGTGATGAGAAGTGCCCTATTTTTGGAGGGCATCTTGGCATCCTTCGAGCCCTGCCGCATCATTGGAGTATCCATCTGCCAATATCCGGGGGGAAACAAAGCAGCACCGGAGAACGGAAGCGCCTCTTTTGACACTTCACGGAGCAAGTCGTTGCCTCCCCACGCGCCTGAAGCCCCTTGGCCCTAAAAGCTCGGTTGCGGACTCTGCTCCCCTGCTAAAAGTTTAGCTTTCAGTGGTTTAATGGAAAGCCCATTAGTTGGCAAAAAGTTAAAGTCCAGACAAGCAAAATGCACCAAAGTTAAGCAGAACAACCTGCACAACAAAAGCCCTGCTTCATGGCCCCGTTGTTGGGCCATTCGAGCACGCAAACGCTGACCTCGAAACATGGTCGAGGCCGGAAAAACAAAACACACCCAAGCAGTCCTCCACATGCTTCGGTATCCAGCTCACCTTCTTGATGTCGATTTCAAAGTCCACCATGGCAAATCTTCAATCACAAACCCCAGCTTGCGTGCCTCGAGCTGCCGTGGCCTCCCCCTGTTCGATACTCCTCGATATTGCGCCGCTACATCGTGATTTGGCTCTTGGATTGATATGCATGCGTGAGGCGACGGTTTTCATCGCAAGCAAACAAGCACATGACCAGACTAGGTTGACTAGTTTATACACATGCCAATAGTGCTATATTGTAAAAATGTAAATACGTGTACAAATATATATATATATAGTACACATCACCGGGCCGTGTCTCGTTGTTGCAGTGGCCATTCTGTGGCACGGGTTCTGAGCCCAGACTTTGGCCGTCCTGACGGGTTGTTGCCGACCTATCTGAACAGGTTTTTCAACTGCTGTACTCGGTTGCCGTTGACCCCCCCAAAAAATGATTTGTTTGGGGTGTAGCGGAAAACCCTGGATGTCCCAAGTTAAAGTCTAAAGGTCCAACCAAATAGCAGTCAAGTTCAGGTCTCTCCCTCGCTCACAGCGCCGTCCCTGTCTGGCCTCAGCTTGAGGATCCACTTCCAAGCAACAAATGAGGCAAGGATTCCGCACTGACTGCTATGTTTTGGCAACGTGAACTAGAGAGATCGCAAGTAATAACGAGCCGTCATCTTGGGTGAGCTCACTTTACCTCAAGGTGAGAGCGTTATGATCCAAGCCAAAACAACAATAGCACAACAATTTCCCTGTCAAAAGCTAACAGAAACACAACAAATCACCAGCAAATGGGGAGGGTGTCACATGTTGCGACTTTTGCAGCCCCATAGCCCCTTTAACAAATGAGGGACTTGAAGGGAGGAGGGGGTTGCCACAACCTTTTTTGATTGAAACCCTCACCTGGCGTATCCCTGGGTGCCATGTGCTCGCATTTGGTTGCCCTAAGGAAGTATGGCCTGAACAACAACTAGACTATCCTCCTTGAAATAACTTCAAATGTTTTGCAGTGGGTGTCCAAAATGAGCTGTTGTTTGGGAGCTACAAACTCTCCATGTTCACTTGTTTGAACACACACCGATGCTGCTTACGGGTGTCTTTTCAGGTGCTGCTGCCTATGACAAGATTTGCCAGTCGTGACCAATTCCATCAAATCCAAATACAACACCACCCTGGTCTCAGATGCCCAGTGGCCATGGGAAGCAAGGCTTCCTTTTTGGTTGGTTGAGTTTAAAGGGGAACCCTTCCCAAAAAAAAGAAGGAAACAGGGCGCCACTGGGCAAGAGAGTTGTGGATCTTCATATGCCCTGTTCCCAGCGCCGTTGGGCAACCATCGCTTAAACAACTCCTCGGCCTCTCAAGAAAAGAATGGGTTTCAAACCCAGCCGCCCTTTGGCACCGGACAGCCTCCCCAGTTGCGCGATGTGTTTTACCGCGGGCTCAGCTTGGCAAGCAGCGCTTCTGCCTTCTCCTGGCTGAAAACAATTTGCCCGCGCGAGCGCGCGCAGAAGGAAAGCACCAACAGCTTCTTTTTGTCGGCTGATTTGAGTGGTGGGTGGGGTGGGGTGGGGTGGCGGGGAAAAGGGAGGGGGCAACCAAAAGAAGGGAAGATGGCCTGAAGAAGCCGCGCCGCACTCTCAGTTCGGCAGACAATGACTTGCCAAGACGACTGGTCGTCAAAAAAAAGACGTGCTCTTACCCAAGGTCCCAACCAAGGTACCTGGGCCTGCGCCCCCGCTAAATTCCAAGGAAGCAAGGGTAACTCACCAAACGCCAAGCGGATACCAGAGGTGGTCAACCAGAGCAAGTCTCACAGAGCCCAATGGGCTTACATGACCACTAAGAGGGTTGCGGAACTGTTCGTTGTTCAGAAGGGAAAGTTTGATGGTTGTTCAGATGTTGTTCAGAAGGGACTGTTTGTTGGTTGTTCAGAAGGTTTTCTACATTCCAATGACAGGGTTGCGAAGGCAAGCAGGGCTTTGGTCATCTTCGGATGGGCTTGCTGTGGGGGGATTCGAGACTGGCTTCCCTTGCAGCTTCCCTACCCCGAAAAACCCAAAAGGGGTACCTTCGCGCAAAAAACACCCAGATGAACACCTGGCTTCGCTTCATGCTTCATCAATGGCTTGGAAGGCTGAAATCCAGGTCCGTGGATTGGCAACCAAATAAGCAAAGCGACGAAAGCAACTCAGGGTATCAGCTGTTGAACCCACCCAGTAACCCTTTCTCTGACCCTTGAACAACCCCCAACGGACACACCAAACATATCGAAGGAGTGAGCATCCACAGAAAAACCCAGACCGGGCCCCAGTGGATTCCATGCAGGAAACAACCAAAGAAAGGGCACGCTTCTTCTTCGCCCAGTTGCTGCTAAAGCGGAACTTCCCTACTCCAAAGGACCAGGGCACCGCCTTTGGGCTGTGGCCACCCTCAACCCCCCCCCTCCCCCGGCCCTGGAACCGAACCTCTGTGAAGGGCCAGCGCTGCGCGCCCTTGACCGTCTGCAAGACGTAGATCCGGGTGCCGTGGGGCACGTCGTAGTACCGCCTGAAATTGAAAACTTGGGGCAGGCTGACTTGGGGCAGCCCAAACCTCCTCAGATCCCCCACTAAAAGTTTAACTTTTCGTGGGTAAAACGGAAATCCACACCCAACACTGAAAGGCCGAAAAGCTAAGGGGATGGATGGGAAGAGACATTTAGATCTTTGACGGGTTCCTGGTCTTTGCACGGGTTCTTATTTGGGTGTGATTGGGTTTATTTTAGGGCTGCTCGTCCACCTTTCGACTTTGGGTCGGAGATGTTGGGAGTTCTTTGGATCTCTGGCTATGTGGCTGGACCCAAATGGGGGTGATATTGGGTCAAGGAGCGGAAATCAAGCATCGTTCAGATTGAAAGAGCTCCAAGAACCTTTCTGCTGCAGCACGGGGTTGCCCTTGCGGGGCGTGTAGCGTGGTCGCCCAGTTCCATTTCCCCAAGTCTTTTCGATGGAGCATGGAGCCATCAATGGCAGCCTGCTAATGTTATTAATACCTGGAGTCTCCATGACCCTTAAAAAAGGGTCCATGACCCATTTATTTTTGGGTAACGACCCCATTTCTTAAAGGGTCATGGAGACTCCAGGTAAGCGAGTGGTTGCATGCTCGCAGCCCCAAGTTTCACCTGCCTGGATGCGTCCGCGCCGGAGTCGTGGAAGAATTGGACCTCGCGTGGGGCATGGGTAGGGTCAAAAGGGTGACCCCAAATCGACAGGCGGGTCAACATGTTGAGCCCAAATCGACAAACTGGTTGACAACTTTGCTTTCAAAGGGATTTTTTGGCGGGTTCCATGTTAGGGAGATTACCATTGTGTTTCTTAGGGTGGGGATACCATCAGGTGTCTGGTTTCCTTTTGAATTTCCCAATCCATCCGACAGCGGGGATGGCGATATTGAGAAGCAGTCCTTGAACTACTCCAGAATGGGTGGGAACATCGCTTGCTACAGATGGCCACCGGCTCTTTTTTTTGGGACTGCCTGTGAGCTTGCGGTCTTTTGACGGATGGATCCAGTGCATTCGGCCATGCATCTAGTCCTTGTGGTTCCGCAGCCACCTTCAAGGTGACTTCTGATCCACGTCTGTTCCCTTCCATTCCGGTAACCATTCTGGACTCTGCCGAAAAAACCAGGCATATTGGGTGTGTGTTTAACTAGAAAACCCTGCAAAATGCGCGGGTTCTCCGTTCTCTTTGAGCAAAAGCACATGCCCAGCGTCTTAAAGTGTGGCAAATCAAGGAAAAATGACAAGCGCCAAGGACGCCACGCCAAATCTCCCCGTCCGACTGGGAGGTTCGACTCAACTGGATGGCCCCCAGCTACTAGTCGGCCCAATCAGCAAGCAGAATGCAGGCCCCTAGGAACCGAAGGAAACAAATCCAAGCTGTTCCTACCAGTGGTTTTCGAACTATGGCCAGCTTGGATTTTTGGAACTGTTGGAACTAGAGCCATTGTTTCGAACTTTTTTAGGAAAAGGCTCGAAACTATGGCCAGAAAGGGCATTGCTGAGGCGCTGGCTCCAGAGATGTAGTGGTGTTCACCTCAGCCGCTCTCGAGTAGTCACCCTCACTCTTTTATCATATGGATCTGTCTCCACATGGCGAGCCCGTTTTGGATGATCTTCAAGGGAAACCAAAAGGACGCTGCCCACCTGAAAGTGTACCTAACTTTGAACTCCCATATCAACCTTCAAAGGCTGGGGCTACAACAGAATATCCAAGGAGACATGCTATTTTTTGCCCAAGGAAAACAACACATCTTCCTACCCAACCTGCTGTGGCCATATTCTTATGAATGAACCTGAAGATGGCAAACTGACTTGGCTGTGGG